AAAAGCTGCATGTTTGTAATAAACAAATTTGTCATTAGGAGGTTTTTAACTTAAAACCGTTGCTTCTGGCTAAAATACGAGTCCTCTATCCATAATATTGCTTTCTCCAAATTCGTCTCGTCTGAATCAGGAGGGAAATATGCACAGATAAAGCACTGTTTACAAGTGAAAACAGGCCTCAATTCTAAACAAATACTGTATGTCTGTGGATTTTGATGTGAGAGGACAACAGGGATGAACTTTTTCACTGGAGTTATGAGTTATTATGGATTATGGACTTGTATTTTGTCCAGAAGACAAATGAATGTTGTCGTGTGGATTACTTGTGGATTATTGTGATGTTTTTATCAGCTGTTTGGACTCTCATTCTGACGGCACCCATTCACTACAGAGGATCCATTGGTGAGCAAGTGATGTAATGCTAAATTTCTCCAAATCTGTTCCGATGAAGAAACTCATCTACATTTTGGATGACCTGAGGGTGAGTAAATCAGCAAATTTTTATTTTAGGCCAGGGTGATCAACTCCTTTAATTAATGAGAGAGGGTTATTTAATGCTCGTTTTATCACAGAATGCCGTTGCAGCTTATAAGGAGACCCGGAATGGCATGATCGGAGTGGACTATTCCACAAAATTTTCTCCTTGGTGAGCCCTCAAAATGATATTTTCATAATGCATGAGTACAGCACAGACTAATGCTGAGCAGTCATGGCTTTTTCATTATCCTCCTTCAGGCTTGCATTGGGCTGCATATCACCCAGGTACATCTATGAGCAGATCAAGAAGTATGAAGCCGAACGAACTGCCAACCAAAGCACATACTGGTGAGTAACGTGGTTAGGAATATGTTTTCAAATAAAATTAACTTGTGCCAGGTTTTTATATGCAACATTACTACATTTTTCTTCACCAGGGTGATATTTGAACTTCTGTGGAGTGATTACTTCAAATTTGTGGGTTTAAAATATGGAAACAGAATATTTCATATGAATGGTAAGTTTGGATTTTTTTTTTTTTTTCTACAGGTGCATCTCAATAAATTAGAATGTCGCCTTTGTTTACGATCACGACGCCGCCTGGGAGCACTTCCGCCCGGCCGGGTAGAGTGCGTAGTCTCGGGTGGTCTGGAGATCTCAGGGATGAGTCGAGGATTGATGATAAAACTGTTGGAAAAGTGCACACCAATATCCAAAAGCTCCTGTCGGGTGTAAGATGTTAAAGCAAAGCTGTTCAGTGCGAACAGGCCCGAGATGAGCAGGAAAAATACTACAAAATTGCAAAAACTGGAGAGACGCTGAGCCTCGCGATGTGTACGCGCCGCCATCTTGGTCAATGAGACCAATTTGTGGCTTACCCTCCTTGTGAAGGGTGTCAATGATTGTCTTCTGGACAACTGTCAGATCAGCAGTCTTCCCCATGATTGTGTAGCCTAGTGAACCAAACTGAGAGACCATTTTGAAGGCTCAGGAAACCGTTGCAGGTGTTCTGAGTTGATTAGCTGATTGGCATGTCACCATATTCTAATTTGTTGAGATAGTGAATTGGTGGGTTTTTGTTAAATGTGAGCCAAAATCATCACAATTAAAAGAACCAAAGACTTAAACTACTTCAGTCTGTGTGCATTGAATTTATTTAATACACGAGTTTCACAATTTGAGTTGAATTACTGAAATAAATGAACTTTTCCACGACATTCTAATTTATTGAGATGCACCTGTATGTTGGTTTTAGTTTCTTATTAATCATAAAATGATAATTTCTTCCTTCATGAACTGAAGGTCTGCAAGACAAGCATGTGTCGTGGAAAACTGATATGACATTGTTCAATGCATGGAAAGGTAATGTGACTTAGAATTTGTTAGTCTTTTTACCCAGTCCTTCATTTTGTACTTAATTTCATCAATCAACCAATGAATCCACATTTCAATTAATTTTCTCTGAATTTAAAGCGACATTTTTTCACTTGTTCAGAGGGGAGAACTGGGGTGCCGTTTGTAGATGCGAACATGAGGGAGCTTGCACTGACAGGATTCATGTCCAACAGAGGACGTCAAAATGTGGCCAGCTTTCTGACCAAAGACTTGGGTTTAGACTGGAGACTGGGTGCTGAGTGGTTTGAATACCTGCTGGTAGGAAACATTTGCCATATTTGATGGGAGTGGGTTGATGCTCTCTGCTTTTTGCTGCCGTTTGATGCATTATTAACTTTCATTGGCATCAGGTGGATCATGACGTCTGCAGCAACTATGGAAACTGGCTCTATAGTGCTGGAATAGGAAATGACCCACGAGAAAACAGGAAGTTTAATATGATCAAACAAGGACTGGACTATGACAATAATGTAAGTAGTAGTTTTTACAGGTCTCTTACGGTAATACCGCGTAAAACAAAAACAAACAAAAAAAAATCCCTGAATTCTGATTCATATATTTTGCTAGCACATCTAAACAAAAAAATAAAAGAGTAGTTGTCACACTCATACACATTAGTTGTTGTCATACTCCAGTCAATATTTCTCAGAGTAGATGTATTTTTAATGGTCTTTTAAATTATTTTTAAAAGTAATAATAGTTATTTGTATTCTTAAAACCATAACTTAAGTAAAATAATTATAAAACAATTCTTGGAACACGAAAACTGGAAAAGGAAACAAAACTAAAAAAAAAATCAAACCATTGTTTTAGTAAACATAATTTGTAATCAATAAATTAACAGTTTAGTAACAATTAAGCCTATATACACACACACACACACACACACACACACACATA